TTTGGGGAAAGCCAGGAGCTGAGGGGTTTGGGGAGATTTTGGGCATTTTTAGGACAGCCAGGAGCTGTGGGATTGGGGCAGTTTTGGGGCAGTTTTAGGACAGCCAGGAGCTGTGGGATTGGGGCAGTTTTGGTGTTTTTGGGATGGCCAAGGACTGGGAGCCGCCCTGCCTGCCCTCCTGAGCGCAGGGCTGCCTCTGGACATGGTAAATGATAGGAATAAAAGGGGAATACACACGGTGAGAGGCAGATTGGGAAGTCCACGTACCCCGATGATAGCATTCAACTCCGTCATTGTCACTTGCTTGGCACGCTCAACAGCCTGGGCCACCTGCTGTTGGTGCTGTGGGGACACGGGGGCCGCGTCAGCCGCAGCCCAGGAGCCCCCCAGGCGGGGCCCCCCCTCTTTTGGGCCCTATTTTTCCCAGTTTTCCCCCATTTTTTGCCCTCTTTCGGGTGCAGCAGCCTGGGGGCAGCTCCCAGCTCCTCGGGGAGAAGGGGAAGCCACTCACAGCCTTTTTGGGGGCTCAGTGCTGAGCAGAGCCCCTGCTCTGCCCATCCCAAGGGTTTTCCAGGCAGGATTTAAATCCCATTTCTCCCCCCCAGGGACCCAGCAGTGCCCGTGGGGGAATGGAAACCCCTGGGAGAAGCTGCACCCCCTCGAGCAGGGCATGGAGAAATCCTTACCTCTTGTGACAGAAAAGGCATGATCTGGGCTAAAATCGTGTTCAGTCTTTTAGCAATTTCTGTCTGAAAAAAGGGAAGAAGGAAAAGCAACAGTCAGCACCCAGCAACCTCCCACGAGGCACGAGGCTTCCCAGCAGCAGTGCTGCGTCCCCTGTCCCTTCCCAAAATCCCCTCCCTGTCCCTTGTCCCTTCCCAAAATCCCCTCCTGTGCCTCCCCTCCCTGTCCCTCTCTCCCTGCCCATGGAAGCAGCAGCAGCTCCCAGCAGAGCCCCCCAGGCTCTCCATCCCAAGGACACATCCCTGTTTTCCCCCTTCCCACCACGGGATCAGCATCCTGGAGTGGCCCCGGCCCTGCCACACCGGCCTGGGCTTGGAGGAAACACAGCCAGGGACATCCCGGAGCAGCTGCCGCTCCCTGGAGGGGCTGGATCCCAGGAAATCCAGAGTTTGGAGACCCTCTCCATCTCCCTCCCTTCCCAGGGCTGTGGTGGGGATTTGGTTTCTCCCAGATCCCCCTGCCCTGCGCAGGGAGTGGGATCCCAAAATCCACCAGGGCCCTGCTCTGCTCCCTCCCCACGGGCGGCATTCCCTCCGCCAGCCTCGCATCCCCATCCAGGAACAGCCTCCAATCCAATCCCAAAGGCCCCTCAGCCCAGGAGACACCGGGAAAATCCTGCCCTGCCCTGCCTGGAGCCCCCCAGAGCTCCGGCTCCTGCTCCAGGGGCTCCCCACAGAGCTGCAAAGCCCATGGAACATTCCCGGCCATCCTCTTCCCCAGCAGCACCCCCGGTGATTGGGTTACACCTGATGCTTTTCCCTGGAATTGGCTCTGTGGGAGCTTCCAGGGATCTCCTGGTGGGATGGCCGTGTCCCAATCCAGGGATCTCCTGGTGGGATGGCCGTGTCCCTCTCCAGGGATGTTCCCAGCAGGACAGCCGTGTCCCAGCTCCCAGGGATGTTCCCAGCAGGACAGCCGTGTCCCGGCTCCCAGGGGTTAACTCCGGCTGCTCCTGGCCAAGGCAGCTGTGAAAACAGCTCCAGCTCCAAGTCAAACACGGCCAAGCGGCCGCGAGGATCCAGCACCACAACAATGGCCGGAGCCGAGCGCTGGCACGGAATCAAACGCCCCGAAATTCCTTCCGCCAGCCCCAGCAGCTCGTTATCAATAACACAAGTGATTAACCGGGAGAGCTCCGGCCTCCTGCTGGTGAGGAGCCTCCTTCCCTGGAGAGCCACGGCCACCCCCTGCCCCAAACCCCGCTGTGCTCCCCAAATCCTGCCCCAAACCCCGCTGTGCTCCCCAAATCCTGCCCCAAACCCCGCTGCGCTCCCCAAATCCTGCCCCAAATCCCACCCCACT